TTGAACTCAAAAAGGGTGTATTGGGAGTCAATCCAGCACTTAGGGCTTCGGGGACCCTAGATAAGTTCAAAGTGGTCAATGTTGGTAGACCCTTTTTCTTTATTGATCATGATGATCATTTTTTAGGTCTTTATGAGATGTCTAAGAATCCTAAATCAAAGGGTTACTCAAACCATGTCTAGTTTATGGGTGTCATTTTAGAATTCTCACAAAACTGAGGTCAACAATAGCGGATCTCAAGAATTTTGGGAATAGTTGACCAAATGCATGCTCTATAATGGCCTGACAATGTCCTTTTTTTTAACTAGACATAAGCATAAGGAGAAAATATTATCCCTCGCTGTCAACATTTATGTTGGTTCCATAGGAGAACATCGTGAAATCACTTGACCATTGTTACCAAAGTATGAACTTATTTCCATCACTTGTCACTCCTGTCCAATACCTTCTTAGTCACATTATGGACCTATCACCTGCTTAATTTTGACTTTCAAACTAAACTTGACAGTTTGGTAAACTAGTACTTTGCATGTTAAAAATATTTTGACACTATTCTCGTGCGATTAATGCGCAATACTTTTTAACCGCTTTATTACTTGACACGTATACTTGCGTGATTGATCAATTTACTTCGTGGTAAGCTTTCAACCATTAATTATCAACTCCAATTAAAATTTATTTACAATATTATTTTTTATGACATGAATAAATTATTATCTAAATTTTAAAAAATTATTAAAACAAATTTATTGTCAAGCAATAATTTTATTCATAAATAAATTATTAATTAATTAATTATGAGATAAAATAACAATTAATTAAAATTTATAAAATTAATTAATTTTGTTATATAAATTAATTTCCATTAATTAATTATAAATAAATAGAAATATAATTTATATAATTATAACAACTAGTAATATATTTATTGGCTACTGATTATTAGTTAATTAAAGGGGTTTTTCCATACCAATGACCCAAAACTTCAATATAACTGATTTGTCTCCTAAATAAAAACAAAATTTTAAATATAACAAATTGACCAATCGTTGTTTCAAAAAAAAAATGAGGATTTAGATGTTTGAAATGTAAGAGTTTATGACTAGGTGGCAAAAATGTTATATTTAAAATTTTAGGTGACTGAAACGTAAAATCTTCTTAGTTAAATTAATTAAATTGGGTTAAATAAAATTACATTAAATCTAGAAACCTATCTTCTCCTCGCAAGCCTCGCCTACCCGCTTACCTTTTCATACTCTCACCCATCGCATCTTCAGCTCCGCTAAATTCAGCGAAGCTAACTTCAAATGGGATTTACTAAATTTGGATTGAAGTTGTCTTTTTTGTTGTTTGGTGGTATTTAGGGTCTGCTTGGTGCAGTTACAGCTTCTCAGCTTTTCAGCTACAGGCTGCAGCTGCCCTAGAAAACTGTTGCGGGGAAGCTGACAGCTTGTTTGGTGCACCTGTGTGAAAACAGCTGTGGGGCAGCTATTTCTGAAAAAATGATCATGTTGCCCCTATTTGTTAAAACTGTTCATAAATTTATATATTTATATATTAAATTGATTAATATATGTAAATATATAAAAGTAGTAATAATTATGGAGTAAATTTAAGTATTTTGATCATTGTGTAAGTGCTAGGGCGTCCCCTGGAAGCGACGCGCTGTATAGCCTTAATACATTGAAAAGTGTGCAAGGGCCGCTACACCGGCGCCCCGGTGTAGTGTTAAATATGCAAGGGTTCCCACATTACGGGCGAATGCGGGTAAAGAAGTTAGTCCATGAAACTAATGAAACTAATATTAGGATAGGATCTTGGAATATAGGCACTCTCAATGGTAAATTAATGGAATTAGTTGATATTATGATTCATAGGAAAATTAATATCTTATGTATTCAAGAAACTAAGTGGGTGGGAGAAAAGGCTAAGGAGATTGATAATTTAGGTTTTAAACTTTGGTATTCTGGTAAGAGTCGCACTAGAAATGGTGTAGGTGTAATTATAGATAAGAGTTTAAAAGATAATGTTGTAAAAATTAATAGAGTTGGTGATAGAATTATAGCCCTTAAGATTATCATTGATACTAAGATTTTTAATATTATAAGTGTTTATGCTCCTCAAGTAGGTTTAGATACAGAGTCTAAAGATAAATTTTGGAATGACTTAGAAGACTTAATACAAATGATACCTCTTGAAGAAAGAATTTTTATTGGAGGAGATTTAAATGGACATGTCGGTAGAGTGGTAGAAGATTTCAGAAATATTCATGGTGGCTACGGTTTTGGAGTAACCAATGAAGAAGGTAAAACTATTTTAGATTTTGCTTTAGC